AGTCTGTAGAATGCCCGATGACGGTAAGTCTTTTGCTCTATAAACGAATTTGACCATATTTGCAAAACAATCTGGAAAATGAGCGTCTGAGTGAGCTGGCAATTGAATGAATTCCGGTCCGCATGCCGGCCAATCACTATTCCAGTCAGCTAATTCCGTCTGCAGCGGGATTCAACATGTGGCCCCCCCATATTGGAGAATGTCCTCCTGTGCCGTGCTCTTTGCTATATTACCCGAAAAATTCCAATAATGGCGGAAGAAATTGGACGTATTTATTTGCCGTCGAAGAGCGATTGGCCTCTTTTGCTCTCGGACAAATACACATTAGTCTTCGGAATCGCTTCGCAGAACAACAGAGGAAGCTAGCTGGTTGGTAGTCGGTCCGATCGGTATTAATTGCCGACTACAGCGCCGTGATCGCGCAAGGCCCATAAATTTCGTGAACGGTTTTTTCCATATCGCGCGGAAAATTTGGTGAAAAACATCTGCAAAACATCGGGACCTTGTTTATGCGCATTTATTGCCCCCACAATGCCGCCATTTAGGCGGTTAAAATTCCGGGCCTGGATGCGATTCTCCGGCTTCGTCAAATTGAAATGGAATTATTCCGCATTCCGGCGTTTTGCCGAAATGATTTCTGGAACTTTGTGCCGCCGTTACGGTTTTAGTGTGTTGTTGTTTGTTCTTGCTTTATGCGACCGTAAAGTTTTCCTAATGGAAAACGCCCCACAGCCCGAATACAACCGATTAGAGATTGGAAAAACTCGTTCTTCTCATCGCGTTGAATGGGGAAAGTGAGTTTTCCTTCAATGGCACGCTAACAGGAAAAAAATTGCTTTGTCTTCGGGCTGCATTATTATCCGCATCCGGTGCATAAAAAGAGCCCCTTAGTCAGCGAATACGCGAGTGGGGCACTTGTGGCGATTTTTCGCGCGGCCACAAGTGTTTCTTTGTGGCTCGGAATAAACCAACTATCGCTCGAAGGGCCGGAGACGTGTGAAGGGCTCTTAAGGATGCGACCCAAGTAGACACGTTGCAGAATTTGCCCTCAGTATCCAGTTTATTACGGTTGTTTGTCCATGGGATCTAATCTAGGCCAATTACCCGCTACGACTATTTTCGGATTTCTAGTCAAAAATTGGGTCTCCATCTCGTGCTTAAAAAAGGTTCACCTTTTTATACAGACAAATGCGTCTTTTGAACAACGTTTTCGTTTAGCAATTAGTTCTAAATCCGAAACGAGCAACAACGTGGTTTTGTTGTCACGGACAATTCGCTTGTTTCGCGGTGGCGTCTTAAGCCAGATTTTCTGCTAATTGTGCAAACACAATGGCAAAACGAACAGCATGTTTTCCAGGCCCGATATTTCGAACAGGTTCTCTTTTGAGGCCCGGAACGGCGTCCCGACACAAAAAAATCCGGTGACTGATTACTTCCCGCCAACGAATTGTCAACTTTCTGCGAAACATGCGGGAAAAACTTCCGCAGTGGCAGTTTCGTTTTTGTGCCATCCGGCAAATTCGGCCAACTTTAAACGATTTAGTTAGCGGTCATTTTGGCGCGACTAAGCAGAGCGCTTGAGGATGAATTTGACTTTTTACATTAACATGTGCTTTTCAACTGCAAGAAGAACATTTCAAAACTAAGTGCAGCTTTACGTTGCCCATTTTTGCGCTTCTAAAAACTCGATTCAACCACTCGCAACAGAGTTGGTGAAAATTTGGCAAACGCTCTCGAGATGTTTTAAGTGCGAAGCCTGAAACATTTTTGCTAATTTTATTAAGTTGGAACGTGAAACTTGCCTTTGAAAGTATGGCAATACGAAGACGCACTTTCTACAAAAATTAAAACTAAACAAACTGAAATCGAACCGCCAAGTAAAGAAATGAATGATGGAAAGGGCGAACAAGCAAATGATTAAATATTTATGCTCATTCTTAAGTTCTGTGCCTTATTTTTGAAAAGGTTCTTAAATGGAAAGTACAGAATCATTGTAGCCGTTACGGCTAGGGCGGTAGTTTGCGAAAGTGCAGTTTTTGAGGATTATCGGGTAGAACGTGGAGGATGGGGCGCCAGCTTTCAGAAAGCTGGTAAGAATTATTTCTCATCTATAAATGTTTTAGCTTAGTTTAGAACTGAGTTTAGCTTTTCAAAACGCAATTGAAATTTGAGGGATGGTTTACATGTCTCTTGCTTTGGTATCGTATTTTTTACATCAAGCCCATCTGAAGTTTGTCTCTAAAGAACCGCTTCAGATATGGGAATTTGGGTTCCAGTATTCAATACAAGAAGCATCAGCTTACTGGTAGGGTGGATTTGGTTCCGATCAAACCATTGAGTCCTTTGTAATAAATTTTAAAACTTTCCAATATTTTGGGCTATTTTGTATTTTTACATCAAACATTTTTACATTGAAACTTTTGTCTAAAGAACCGCTTTAGATATGGAAATCAGTGGCCCACTATTCAATAGAAGCAGCATCAGCTTACTGGTAGTGTGCATTTGGTTTCGATTAAGCCATTGACTCCTTCACAAGAAATTTTGAAACTTTCATCATCATTCATCATCTGAAGCTTGTCTCTAACGAACCGCTTCAGATATGGAAATATGGGTTTCAGTTTTATGTTTTTCTTGTCAAAGATGGTCAAGTTTCAGTTTTGCCCCCTATTTTTTTCTATTAGCTAAATCGGCTGAAACGATTTATAAGTTGTAGATAAGTTCTATATTGTTGAGGCGGATTCATTTTTTTACAAACTTCTTTTTGGGTATT